AACCAACAACAAAACAGGAGATCTAGTGGTCCCTTGCAGACAAATGCAGTTGATCCCAGGATAAGCTTTTCATGAATCCAAGCACACTTCGTCAGACGGATTGAAGTCCATCGCATCTGAGGAAGTGAGCTCAGAATCACGGAGAATTTATGCTGGAATCAATCGTGTTAGTCTTCAAGGGGCCGCTCCTGTTTTTTATTTGCTGCTCCCTACTAGTGCTGCCTGGTGTCTTGACTACTGTTTGTCTCTCTCCTCCTCTGTAAACCAGGTCTTGGCCATTACGACAGCGTCAGCACTCCGACAAAACTGGGTGGTGATATTGCCGGGGTCCCCATTGTCCAGGTCACTACTTATGGAGACTGCTGCCTTGCTGTGTCGGCAGATGGAGAGATTTTCGGCTGGGGGAACTCGGAATACCTGCAGCTGGCTTCCATTACCGATCTGACACAGGTTAGAAAAAATCTGAAGGAATTCGCCTTTCTGTAACTTGCTGTCCTGGAATGTGGGGGGCGCATATGTCCTTCTCCCCTTGTGATTTTCATTCTGTGGGACTTTGCTTGAATGTTGACAATTTTTTTGGGGGGGGGGGGGGAAAATGCCAGTGGTGGCTCAAGTGGTTAAGATGCTGAACTGCAGGCTGTGGAAGGTCAGTAGTTCAGCAGTTCGAGACCCAGGTGCCGCATGATGGAGTGAGCTCCTGTCTCTAGTTCCAGCTCCTGCCAACCTAGCAGTTCGAAAGCAAGAAATTGCAAGTAGATAAATAGGTACCACTTCGGTGGGAAGGTAACAGTGTTCCACGCGCCTTGGTGTTTAGTCATGCCGGCCACATGATCACGGAAATGTCTTTGGACAGCGCTGGCTCTTCGGCTTTGAAACAGAGATGAGCACCGCAACCCTAGAGTCGGATTCGACTGGCTTTCGAGCAAGGGAACCTTTACCTTTTTATGCCAGCTTTCCTGGCTGATCTAATTGCCATCAAAGCTCTAATTCATTTCACCGTCCCCTGTTAGTAATGTTGCCCCATAAGGTTGGACCAGAACCAACGGGTTGAAATTGAATCAGAAGAGTTTTCGGCTAAATATTAGGAAAAACTTCCTGGCAGTGAGAGCAGTTCCTCTGTGGAACAAGCTTCCTCAGGAGGTGGTGGGCTCTCCTTCTTTGGAGGTTTTCAAACAGAAACTAGATCAGGGGTGTCAAACATACGGCCTGCAGGCCGGAACAGGCCCGCCCATGACTTCAATCTGGCCGCGAGTCGAACACCGCCCCTGCATCCCCCCCCCCCCAACCGCCAATAAAATCATTCTCTCTTTTGGGCTTGGC